TGGAATTCTCCACTGACTTTACGGAGTTCCTCATACGTTGTGAATTGAATAGCACCATAAGAAACTAAATCAAAATCAAACCCACCCAAATGAAAATAAGAAGTAAATCATTCAGTCTGCCAACTTAATGGTAGCTTCATAAGCTGATATTTTTCGACAAGAGGTGAAAAAGAAAAAAAAGATAGTAAACTAACCAATGCAAGAACAGGGACAATAAAGCCCTTTATCAAAAAAAAAAAAGGATAGGGACAATACCCTTGTATAAGTGATTATTAATCGATCCCTAGAACTAATAATAATTGAGAAGATATACAAATCAAATCTTAAAAATTAGGGTTTTAAGAATCTAGAGAATGAAACACATACAGCCTGTGAAAAATCTTAGGGTTTTGATGCAACTAATGATGGTATATATAACTGAGTCGACACAACAAAATGACGAAGAACAAATACGAGGAAAAAGAATAAGAGCAAAGAAGAAAAAGAATAAGAGCAAAGAAGAAAAAGAAGAAATAGAGAACAGAGATGGGAATTTTTAACCCTGAAAAAGAAGAATAGAAAATCGCCATTGAAAATAAAAGAAAGCTCCCAGGGGAGAAGACGATAGAAGAGAATTAAAAATTAGGTTAACGTGTTTGTTCTCTTTTTGCATTTTAATTAGTTTAAATTTGATTAATCTGAGGGTATAATCGTATTAAAGATAATTAAAATCTTAATTAGACAAAAATCCTAGATAAAGTCTTATGTGGACAAACTCAAGTTCTAAGTGTCTCTTTNAAAGAAAGCTCCCAGGGGAGAAGACGATAGAAGAGAATTAAAAATTAGGTTAACGTGTTTGTTCTCTTTTTGCATTTTAATTAGTTTAAATTTGATTAATCTGAGGGTATAATCGTATTAAAGATAATTAAAATCTTAATTAGACAAAAATCCTAGATAAAGTCTTATGTGGACAAACTCAAGTTCTAAGTGTCTCTTTAATTAAATATAATTATTTTCAACACCCCTCGTCATTACTGCAGCATATACGAAGCCAGGGTAATTAATTTGCAGAAAAAAGTCATTGTTTCTGTGCCCGGGTCATACACTGCAGCATAAGAAGACGAAAGATAATCTAAAGAAGTCTCTTGAAATTAATACAGATTGTTAAATGTGCTTTATATAATCAGACAACAAGAGGTATATTATATATCATCTGCTATTGTTTAGAGGGGCCACCTAATAACTCTGGTGGTTATAAACAAGGTTAAGATTTCCTGCGTAAATGCACTAGTTTTTTTTTTTTTAACTAAAGTTTTTCAAATTAAGCATAAACAATACTCCCTCCATTTCGTAATGTGTAAAGTATAATGTTTCCATTTCGTAAGAGTTTTTCAATGTTTCAATATGTAAACTGTTTTTCAATTTTTAGATAACCATTATCTAAAATATTAAAACAGAAGTACAAATAGATAATACCCCTTAATTTTCCTCAAATATTACAAAACATGCCACTGTATCAATATACTTCTATTACTGTGAATAAATTAAAAATGCCTTTCAGAATTAGTTTCCATATCCTGCACAAGCAATTACAACAAGTACTTAAAATTGATTAGCATATATTTTCAAAAGATACGATTTAGTTAAAAGTTTAGAACAGAAGAATATTATAGATTGTGTGTGTTACTATTATATCATATCCACGTGGGTTTAGTATAATAGAATATTATAGAGTCCACCATAAATTTATTTATAATCCAATCAATAAAAATGAACATATTACAACTTAATATATAACTTATTGCATGTAGTAATTATTTATAAGCAAATATCTATAAAAAATGTTTAAACATTTATGTTAAATACACATTCAATATCTATTTATTTATTATTAAAAAATAAAATATTTCCGCATGGAAACATGGTATATATTATAGAAATGTACTGATAACAATTTACAGTTCAAAAATAAGATAAAATTCTTCATTATAACAATAAAATTATTATATTTAGAAATTTTATATCAAACAACTACATAATATGAATAAATTTTAAAAATATATACTACAATTATAGAAAAAATGTTTATTTATAAATAAATTAAAAACAAACACCCGTGCGGACGCACGGGTCAAACTCTAGTCTTTATTAAAAGTTATGTAGCCAATAGTATTTTGTAATCGGTTTAATAGTTTTTAATTTATATTTTAATGATATTTTTTTAGAAAAAACAGCTTTTTAATAGTTGTGTATAAGTTTAAAAGATCATACATATAGATATACATTTTAAAACAAAGAGAGTATTACAAAATCATGGAATTTAATCCATATGTTTTTATAAGTTTGCTAAAAGAGAAGGGTTGAAAAAAAACAAAAAAAGCATTTAAGAAAACGCATAAGAAACAAAAACTAGTCCACAAGAACAACCACTTGCCCCAGTCTCGCTCGAGGCATCTTCTCTCATGCCCCTATTTTTTTTAAGCTAATCTCTTATGGGCTCACAAGATCTCTTATACCCCTATTTCATAATTTTTATTTTTGATCAAAATCCAAACCCCCAATTAAATCATTCCCGATTTTCAAAACTAAACAAACCCCCCCCCAATGGATTAGTGAACCCTTGGGAAAAGATTTAAATTCTATAGTGATCAAATTTCAAAAAAAAATATATTTTAAAATCGTTTTTAATCATATTTTGATGATTTTCGTGAAAATATCAAAGTTTAATTTTTTGAATTTTGAAATATTTTTGTCAAATTCTATAAATCAAATAAAAAATATTCACGTTTTCAGATTAATTTTATGATTTTTCGTTTGAAATATAAAATTAAAAGAAGAAATGTGTCCTAGAAAGATTAGAGAATGAGATTTAGGGGCTATAGAGGAGATGCCTCGTCTAGCTTCCACCAAACTTGCAACTAAAGCAAATAGCTTTTTTTTTAGTTTTCTGATAACCATTTGTATGTGTTTCTTTTCATTGGATATCTCGTGAGAGAAACAAAGAAGCCGATCTGATGGCTAAGCAATGCTTATCTGATGAACAAGTCTTGTATGCTTTAAATGTTTCCTAACTCTCTGAATGAGTAATGAATGTTTGTGTTTCAAAAAAAAAAAAGATAACCATTTATGTAAAACATCTTGATATCCCAGTTTTTTTTTATTCTAGTAGAATTCAAAGTTATGTCTTCAGGTCTAACTGATATTTTCCTTACTGCAATTTGACTGATGCATGGACTGGCCAGGCTCTTCTTTTAAAGTAAAAATAGGTGCTCACCCTTCCCCTTTTTGTTTGAAAAACCTGATTTGATTATCATAATCTTATTATGAAACCATGTGTTTGTATCTCTAGGCATCGGGACAGGTGCTGCAGTTTTGGGGTTGGTTTCTGCATTCTTATTCTGGTTCTGTTACAACACCCAGTGCATGAAGACGTCGGATGATCCAAGACAACAAAACCTAAAGGCCCTTATTCCACTAAAACACTATAGCTATGCCCAAGTAAAGAGAATAACAAAGTCATTTACCGAAGTGGTTGGAAAAGGCGGTTTTGGCACTGTTTATAGAGGAACCCTTTGTGACGGTCGTAGTGTTGCAGTGAAAATCTTGAAAGACTCAAAGAGTAATGGAGAAGACTTCATCAATGAAGTTGCGAGCATGAGCAAAACTTCTCACGTCAACATTGTTGACTTGCTTGGATTCTGCTCTGAAGGCTCAAATAGAGCAATTATTTATGAATATCTAGAAAATGGATCTCTTGATAAATTCATCTCAAACAAGTCCTCGGTTAATTTGGATTGGACGACACTGTATCAAATTGCGTTAGGAGTTGCTCGTGGGCTAGAGTATTTGCATCATGGCTGCAAAACAAGGATAGTACATTTTGACATAAAACCACAAAATGTACTCTTAGATGAAAACTTTCATCCCAAAGTTTCAGACTTCGGCCTTGCTAAGCTTTGTGAGAAGAAAGAAAGCATCTTGTCAATGCTGGACACAAGAGGCACAATAGGTTACATTGCACCTGAACTGTTTTCAAGAATGTATGGTCGGGTTTCACACAAGTCAGATGTGTATAGCTACGGAATGTTGGTCCTTGAAATGATTGGAGCAAGGAACAAAGAACGAGCTGGTCAAAATTCTGCATCAAATGCAAGTTCAATGTACTTTCCTGAATGGATATATAGGGATCTTGAAAAGGGAGATAGTGGAAGGCTTAACGGGGATGTAATTACCAGTGAAGACGAGGAGATAGTGAAGAAGATGACATTGGTGGGTTTGTGGTGTATTCAGCCTTCCCCACCAGATCGCCCGCTGATGAACAGAGTGGTAGAGATGATGGAAGGAAGTGTGGATGCTCTTGAAGTCCCTCCTAGACCTGTTTTCCAAATTCCAGCAGCACCGTTTCAAGACTCTTCTACGCTGTCAGAGGATATGTCGAGTTACAAAGAAGTATGCTCCATGGATGTCGCATAAAGAACGAAACCTGGTAAAGCACAAAAGCAACAATTATATTTATACAAAAGTTAGAAGTGTGTTACCGGAGGTATATGATTTTCTCCATGTATGATTCCAAAACTTTTAGTTTTTGAGCTAACCTACTGGGGTGGGAGTGTATATTGTTAATTTGTAAAAAAAAAAAGATCCATTGAACATATTGTTTTCGGGAAGGAATTAACCAAACAGGTGGAGGAAACAGAACCACTTGTGTGTAAGTACTTATTTCTGTTTGGGTGTGAAATTGAAAACAAAGGAAAGAAAGTCGGTACCGGCATCTCTAGTAGTTTTTCCATAACTTTCATTGTCTAAGAAAATATCAAACTCAAATCTCGACCACAAAAAAAAAAGAAAGGAAAAGAAAATTTTAAACCACATGACTTTGAAGCGGGACTTAGACTTAGTCCATTTGAACTTCGTACAAAAAATGAAATTACAAGAAGGTTGGAGAATGAGTCCAAACCTAAGTCCATTTAGTTCAAAAAACCAGGACTTAGACCACAAACATTTAACATCTCCCTAGCATAATGATCAATCTGAATCCATTCCGCTCAAAATCTATTTCTCACAGAATCATATGGATACTCTTTGTGATCCCATCTTGTGTTTTCTCAGCAAATGAGTTTCACAGACTCTGCACTCTACCGTTTAGCTGCGGCAATCAGAGCGGTCTCTTATACCCTTTCTGGATATCTGGAAGAGAAGCCTGTGGCCACCCTGACTTCAAGCTCGACTGTAGCGGAGGATTCGCAGAGTTGAACATGTCCTCTGTGAAGTACAGAATCTTAGAGGTGAATTATGAATATCGTTTCATAAGACTGGCGAGATCGGATTATATCGGCGATCTTTGTCCTAAAGATCCTTTAAATGAGCCATTCGATGAAAACGTCCTTCCATTTGCTCCCAACACCGATCTGATAACGATTTATTACGACTGCAGGCAAGACTTTTCGCTGTATGTTTCTACTTATGTTGGAGTTTTTTCTTGTGGTGATGATGGAAGTAGTTACTATGTGACAAGAAACCTCTCGTCGCCTCTACTTGACGGGGTTAGAGGTCATTTATACGACTTTGATGCATCTTGCAAAATCGTCAGTGTACCTGCAAATGGGCCTTGGCTGGACACACTGCAGATCAATGGGACTCGAGATAATCTACAGAAAGCTCTTGCAGAGGGGTTCAAGCTTGAAGCTAACCAAGATTGTTTGACGTGCTTAGCATCTGAGGGTGTTTGTGGATATAATGAGAGCTCAGGTGGATTCGTCTGCTATTGTGTAGATGAGCCACTTAGCCGTACTTGCGCTTCTAGAAAAAATGGTATGATTTCTAAGCTTACATGTTAATGTTCCTCCACTTTGTCCCTTCCCCAGATCTCCCCAGTGATAGACCTTTTGATTCTATCATCTACAGAGTATTTCCTTCAATTTATGATAATTATATACAGAAACTCCCATGAGTTTCAAGTTTGAAATTTCTAAATTCTAATGTATGGTAAGTTACTTTGTTGGTGTTTACACATTTAGACGTTGCACATCACATAGATTGCTACTTAGGTTTAGGAGGTGTATTGGCAGAACATTAGGATAAGCATTATATTTATTATATCCAATCAACATTCTTTTAGGAAAACATTTATAATAATATTTTGAAAATGCAAATGAAAATGTGTGGTTCTTTGTGCATTGGTTTTTTTTTTGTCATTTGTTGATTTTTGTTTTTTTTGCATTGCTGTCATGTGGCTTTTGTTAGAGAACTGTATTTAGAATATATATAATTTATTTATTTATTTTATTTAATAATATCATAAAATTATATTTATATTCAAAAATAAACCATTTTCTTAAAATTCTAATAGGACTCAAAGTTATGCCTTCAGATCCCACTGATATTTTCTGATGCAATTTCACTGATGCAGGCCAAAGCTTCACTTTAGGAGCAAAATTAGGTGATAATCCCTACCCATTTTGTTCAACAAACCTGATTTAGTTAACAAAACTGTATTATGAAAACCATGTAATTTGTGTTTATATATCTTATCTATAGGAATTGGTACTGCTGCTGGACTTTTAGGGATATTTCTTTCAGCTGGAGGCTATTTTTGTTTCATCATCCAGCGAAGGAAGACATCTAATGATCCAAGACAACATAAGCTAAAGAACGTTATTCCACATAATCTAGAAGCCATTATTCCACTGAAACACTACAGCTACGCGCAACTAAAGAGAATTACAAATTCATTCGCAGAAGTGGTTGGGAAAGGAGGATTTGGCACTGTTTATAGAGGAACCCTTTGTGACGGTCGCCGTGTTGCAGTGAAGATTTTGAAAGACTCAAATAGTGATGGGGAAGACTTCATCAATGAAGTTGGGAGCATGAGCAAAACTTCTCATGTCAACATTGTTGAATTGCTTGGATTCTGCTATGAAGGCTCGAATAGAGCAATTATTTATGAATTTTTAGAAAATGGGTCTCTTGATAAATTCATCTCAAACAAGACCTCAGTGGACATGGATTGGACGACATTGTATCAAATTGCGCTAGGAGTTGCTCGTGGTCTAGAGTACTTGCATCATGGGTGCAAGACAAGGATTGTACATTTCGACATAAAACCACAAAATGTACTCTTAGATGTCAATCTTTGCCCTAAACTTTCAGACTTCGGCCTTGCTAAGCTTTGTGAGAAGAAAGAGAGCATCTTGTCAATGCTGGACACAAGAGGTACAATAGGGTACATTGCACCTGAATTGTTTTCAAGAATGTACGGTAGAGTTTCCCACAAGTCAGATGTGTATAGCTACGGAATGTTGGTCCTTGAGATGATTGGAGCAAGGAACAAAGAAGGAGGTTGCCAAGATTCGGCACCAAATGCAAGTTCAACTTACTTTCCTGAATGGATATATAAGGATCTTGAGAAGCGAGACAGTGGAAGGCTTATTGAGAATGTAATTACCAGCGAAGAAGAGGAGATTGCGAAGAAAATTACATTGGTGGGTTTGTGGTGTATTCAGTCTTCCCCATCAGATCGCCCGCCGATGAATAGAGTGGTAGAGATGATGGAAGGGAGTGTGGATGCTCTTGAAGTCCCTCCTAAACCTGTTTTCCAAATTCCAGCAGCACCATTTCAAGAACCTTCTACGTTGGCGGAGGATATATCGGGTTGCAAAGAAGTATGTTCCATGGATGTCGTATAAAAAAACTCCTATAGCACAAAAGCAACAATTATATTCAAAAAAAAGGATCACTTGAACACAATGTTTTCAGAAAAAGGAATTAACCAAATGTTTATATCATTAGCATTTTCTGATCCAAAGGAACACTCACCTTTAAACTTTTGTTCAAAAAACAGCTCCAACATATACTCTGCAATATTCCCATAATCATCGGCAGTTCGAACCCTAGATAATAGATAGCTGCTTAAATATTTTTAGTTTTTATATAAAAAGAAACAAATAACAAAAAGTCTTTCAACGTATACAAAACACTGTCATTTAAGTTTCGCTTCTCTCACGATCCTCACTTTGACTTGGTCCTTAGGCTCTCATCTTCCACATCATTTCTACGATGTTCTCTCTTTTAAAATCACTACCTCTTCTCTCCTTAACACAAACCAAACCAAAAAGAAACACCTTACAAAGATGAAACAAATCATGTCTTATCTTCCCACTTCTTCTATGGTCATGTTCTTCATCTTCCTCTTATCTCACCATCTTTCTTGTGCTTCAAGTAAACAAGAACTTGGAAAGTGTGAGACCCTGTTTCAGTGTGGGAACATCACCGCCGGTTTCCCCTTCTGGGGCATGAATCGTGACAAAATTTGCGGTCATCCAACGCTGGAGCTACACTGCAACAAAGACATCACCTCTTTAACCATCTCTGATCAAGACTTCCGTGTTCTACAAATAAATCAATCATCTAACTCTCTTAGACTAGCAAGAACAGACCATATGGGTTCTTTTTGCTCCTCTAACTTCACCAACACAACCTTGCCTCCAAATCTATTCAAGCTTTCCCCAACCTACAAGAGCGTCACAGTAATCTACAGTTGCAATCCTTTTGGTTTCCACTATCAGGGATATAAATGTCCAGAAATAGGTTTGATCTTTGTGTCTGACAAACCTGAAAATTACAAGTTCTGCCTTGGCGGTTTCACGGCGAACGTTCCTAGGAGCTTCGTGACAGAAAATAAAGACCTGGCCTATTTGGAAAGTATTTTAAAGAAAGGATTTGAGGTGAAGGTGAAGATCGATAAGAGCGAGTATGAGCATGGTAAACACGGTCCCCTCCATCCACCAACTGGTAAGTTTCTTATGCATCACTATCATATCCTTAACAACTTATGCTGAAGTAAGTAGTGGTTCTACTTCTAACAAGGTAAGACATGCAGTCAGAGCATGGTGGTTAACTCTATAGTTTATTGAGTTTTTAAACCCTTAATCTTTGACATACTAAAACAAATAGTAAGATATACATGTTTCAAAGTAATATATGTTCTGATCTTCCTCTGTTAATTCAGCACTTTAGGACATAACTTACTAGTGAGCTTAAAAGATAAAGTGATAATGATACAACAAGTTATAAATGCTTGAAGTGTTCCCATAATCATCAGTTCGAACCTCAGATAAATAGAGTGAATCACAGAAGTAAGAGAAGTCTTTCAAAGTTTTAGCTTAAAGAAAAGAGTTAACAAATGATAAAAAAGTCTTTCCCCCAAGTCTCCGCTTCTGTCATTACCCCACTTGACTTAGTCTTCTGTCACTCTTTCCACACAATCTTTAGACTTAAATCACTTCCTCTGTCTTCTCAACACAAACCAAACCCCAAAGACACACTAGTGTTCATAGATCTAAATCAAATTATGTACTATCTCCCCACTTCTTGTCTTATCTCTTTCTTCCTCTTCTCCTTCTTTCACCACCTTTCTTGTGCTTCAACTAAAAACGAACTTGGGTGGTGTGGTGGTCTGTACGAGTGTGGAAACATCACCGCTGGTTTCCCCTTCTCCGGTGGGAGTCGTACCCAGTTTTGTGGTCATCCATCGCTGGAGCTTCAGTGCTATGAAAACAAGACATCTATTATAATCTCTAATCATCTGTACGATGTTCTGCACATAGATCAACCATCTAAGACTCTTAGACTTGTTAGAGCAGAGCTTGGAGGTAATTTTTGCACCGCTACATTCACAGCCACAACCTTGCCTCCCGAAATCTATGAGCTATCACCAACCTCTCAGAGCCTCACTGTTTTCTACCTCTGTGACCGTAACTTTCGTTACAACTCGAGTTATACATGTCCTGATAGAGGTCCTATCTCAGTGTCTAAAAACCTTGATTACCACAAATCCTGCCAAGACAGTTTCAATATTAACGTTCCCAAGGGCTATGTTCCTGAAGAGAAAGAGTTGAATCTGAAACATTTAGAAAATGCTTTGAGTGAAGGGTTTGATGTGAAAGTGAAGATTGATGAACAAACATGTGAAGAATGTTTATCTTCTCATGGAATCTGCGGCTTCCAAAATACAACACAGATCTGTTGTAAGAATGATTCAACATCAAGATGCAATACACTCCGTCTACATAATAGTCATAGTAAGTTTCTTAAACATCCATATATTAACAATTTTTAACTTAAGTTGTTGCATTTTTAGTAAAACTAGGATGATTCCCTTAGATCGTAGATATCTTTTTACAAGTTTTTTCTCATTCTGAAAACCCTTTTCTACTCTCTTACATATCAATCTGCAACCATAATCCTTAATTAAGTGAAATCTGATACGAGATTTCTTTAGTAAGTTACTATATATTTAGTATGGGATCGATCTTCTTATTAGTTTGCTTACCAAGTTGAAGTTCCGAGCCTTTTAGCACTGCATTTATTGTTTGGACCTTCCTTTGTTGATTTTTACACATTCTGACGGTCTAAATGGTTTAGGTCCGGGTAGATTCATTTATTGTTTGGACCTTCCTTTGTTCATTTAGTCACATCACATAGCTTAAAAGAGAAGCTTAAATGGCGCTCTTTCATTTATTACTTCTTACCAGTCAGTTCCAGTAGTAAATGGTCTCAGAAATTTCTTATAGATTTTCCAAGCCTGGGCATTTTGAAGTCGCCAAAGAAGAATCTAACTCTGTATTGTGCGTAGTGGGAACTCGTTTATATTCTACAAACATTAGAAAAAAAGTCGTTTAAATCACTGTTTCGTTTTCTTTTTCATGTTTACCAGTATTCACCAATGCTTTCATATCTTCTTTCTTCACCATCTTCCTAGTTGACCGCTTTTGTTCCCCAAAAAATCTAGAGTAAATTTCTCCAAAAGATCTAAGAAAATGTTTCTATGACTTCAAAACACACATAAAATTTAAAATGACAAAATAAAATTTATTAAATAGGTAAAAACATTTATATATATATATATATGTACATTAAATAAAATAATAAAAATAGAATCTAAATTTTAAAATTTTATTTCAAAATTTTTTGAAATATTTGTTTTCGTTTGTTGAGTTTTATCGAATTTTTGGTTTTAAATTTTTTTTTCAAATTTCTTCCGAAAATATTTTAAAAATAATTATTAAAATTTTGTATATCTTATACATTAAAATAGAAATCATGACTTATTTCATGTGTGAGTTTTTAGTTTGGACCAATCTTTAGAAAATTATTTAATTTATATTATATATAAGCATATTTATTATTTGTATTATTATAGAACAAAAAATAAAATAAATATTCCTATATTTTCTCTGAAATTATATCTGAATAAAATCTTTCCATATCTTTTTATTTACAATGTAAATATATATATTTCATTTTCATTAAAATAAACCTATAAAATATTTAATTAACTTCATATTTATTTAAAATAAATGTATATTTGATTTTTTTTACTTAGTTTCTTTAAAAGAAGAATATTTAGTTAATTTTGTGATTATTTAAAAATTAAACGTATATTTCACTTTAACTAAATTAAAATTTTTAAATATCAAATTAATTTTGTAATTATAAATAAAATCATATACATTTATGTATTAAATTTGTTATACCTATTTATTATAATATTTTTCAATTAAATTTTTGATTTTATACCTATAATATTTTCAATTTAGAATTTTGTATCACATGATTTAAAATATGTTATCACTGAAAATTTAAATAAATAAACAAAATTTATGTGAATTATAAAATTGTTATGTTTTAATAATATAGATTAAACAATTAATAATATGGTAAATATTACAATTAGTCATGTAAACAAATAATTATGTCTGTAAAAATAAAAATAATCATTTGCACAGTTGTGTGGATCAAGATCTAGCAAATCTTAAATTTCAAACAAAATCCACTCCCATATCTAAATTTAAATATAGATTAGTTAGTATCTTTTAGTTTCTTTCTGAAAAATATACTCCATCCGCTTCACTTTATTTGTCATTCGAGGTTTTTACAAACAGATTAAGAAAACATTTTATTTTACATATTTCCAAGATAAAAAGACAATTACCTATACATCTAACCACTTTTCAACCAATAGAAAAACATAATATCATATATAGCTAATAAATTTTGCCTTGATGAAACTCTAAAACAGCACTTATTTTAAAACAATTTTTTTTCTCTAGAATGACAACTAATTTGAAACGGAGGAAGTATGTTATATTGAATTATACTCCTTCCGTTTCACTTTATTTGTTATTCTAAGTTTTTACACACATATTAAGAAAACATTTAATTTTACTTATTTTCAAGATAAGAACACAATTACCTATACACCTAATCACTTTTCAACCAATAGAAAATAGAATATTATATAAAGCTAATAAATTTTGTCTCAAAACTCTAAAACCACACTTATTTTGAAAATAATTTTTTTATCTATAATGACAACTCATTCGAAACGATGGAGTATTGATGCTGTTTATGATCCCATCTTTTGTTTTCACAGTTGATGAACTTAACCAACACTGCAGTGGCTCCTTTAGCTGCGGCAATCAGAATGAACTCTTTTACCCTTTCTGGATACCTGGCAGAGAAAACTGCGGCCACCCCGACTTCAAACTCAACTGTAGTGGAGGATTCGCAGAGTTGAACATGTCCTCTGTGAAGTACAGAATCTTAAATATGAGCTATGAATCTCCTATCATAAAAATTGCCAGATCCGATTATATCGACAATCTTTGTCCCCCAAATCCTCGAGACGCCCCATTCAACCAAAGTGTTCTAAAACTTGCTCCCCAGACCGGTCAACTAACAATATATTACGACTGCGACAATCTTTCGCCACCTGCTATTAGAAGCAATTTCTTTGGAGAGCTTGGTTGTGGGGATGATACAGATGATGGACGTTATTACGTGATGAGCAACCTCTCTTCTCCTGTACCCAGTGAGATTGATAGCGTATTAAACAACTTCAGGTCTATATGCAAAAGAAGCGTCAGTATTCCCACGGCTAGACCATCTCTGGATTCACTACTAAACACTCCGAGTCATGATAATCTACAGAAGGCTCTTAAAGCTGGTTTCGACCTTGAAGTTAACCAAGAATGCTCGCTATGTAGATCCTCTCAGGGTTCTTGTGGATATGATAAGAGCTCAGGTAGATTCGCCTGCTACTGTATAGATGAACGCCATAATAGTATATGCAGTTCAAGAAAGAAAGGTATGATTTCTTTTGTACATGATCTCCTTTGCTAATCTTCTACCACAGTATCCACCTCTTCCCTTCCTCACATTCTTAGATTAAATTCACACAAACTCCATTGGAGTTCAAGTTTTTAGTACCATTTCTAGTAAGATATAAAGGTTAAACTGACCTTTTCTTTGTGTCATCCTGTTGATGCAGGCCTCTCTACTGCCGCAAAAGCAGGTGCTTTCCCTTTTCTTGTTCTATTTGATCAAACTGTATGCAAACAGCATAGACTTACTATGAAAATTGTTCCGCTTTTCGTCTCTAGGAACCGGATCTGCTTGCGGGTTGGGTGGGGTCATTCTTATAGCCGTAGTTTTGTTCTGTCTCTTCAGAGGGAGAAGGAAAAAATCAGATGTTCCTAGACAACTTAATATAAAGGCCCTTATTCCACTAGAACACTACAGCTACGCGCAAGTAAAGAGAATAACAAAGTCTTTTGCAGAAGTGGTCGGGAAAGGAGGATTCGGAACTGTCTATAGAGGAACCCTTTGTGATGGCCGCAAGGTTGCTGTGAAGCTCTTGAATGATACAACGGGTAACGGTGAAGACTTCGTCAATGAAGTTGCAAGCATGAGCAAAACATCTCATGTCAACATTGTTACTCTACTAGGATTCTGTGCTGAAGGTACTAAGAGAGCAATTCTTTATGAATTCTTGGAAAACGGATCTCTTGATAAGTACATCTCAAGCATGAGATCATCAGATATGGATTGGATGGAACTATATGGAATCGCGTTAGGCGTCGCTCGTGGTCTAGAGTACTTGCACCATGGATGCAGAACAAGGATTGTACATTTCGACATAAAACCGCAGAATGTCTTGTTAGATGGCAATCTTTGCCCCAAGGTTTCAGACTTTGGTCTTGCTAAGCTCTGCGAAAGGAAAGAAAGCATATTGTCACTACTAGACACAAGAGGAACGATAGGGTACATTGCACCCGAAGTGTTTTCAAGAATGTACGGTAGAGTCTCACACAAGTCAGATGTGTATAGCTATGGAATGTTGGTTCTTGAGATGATAGGAGCAAGGAACAAAACATCAAGTGAAGACACTGCGTCTAGTGAAAGCTCAGTGTACTTTCCTGAATGGATCTATAAGGATCTTGAGAAGGGAGACATTGGAAGGCCGCCTAACGGGATTGTAATCAGCAATGAAGAAGAGGACATAGCAAAGAAGATGACATTGGTGGGTCTGTGGTGTATTCAACCTTCCCCTTCAGATCGCCCGTCGATGAACAGAGTGGTAGAGATGATGGAAGGAAGTCTAGATGGTCTTGAAGTCCCTCCTAGGCCTGTTTTACAAAATCTCACAGCACCTCTTCAAGAATCTTCTACGGTTTCAGAGGACATTTCTGTTTACACAGAAGTATGTTCAATGAATATTGCATAAAACCCAAAGGTCGTTAGCTTAACCGGAAAGAATCTTGACTGTTGTATCAAGAGGTCTCCAGTTCATTGACCACTGGGACGAAACTAATATTACAATATGTAGTTTTAAACCTTAGGGATTACAGACTTCAATTCCAAACCTTCTAGAATTCAAAAAAAAAATTGCATAAAGAAAGAAATGTCCCTAGAATCTATTAATCACATAAGGAGTAAATATATTTGTTCATGAAATGCATTATACCGGTTCTAGATTCAACATTGACACATTTATAAATACTACATCTATCAACACTCCTCTGGGATTTTTTTTTCATGCTTATTACTTTTCTACTGACTTCGCCAGCCAACGGTCTAATAACCCCTCGAAAGCAAACCCATTTCAAACATATCAGTGATCTCCTTACATGGCAGCCTTCTTCTCCGCTTGTTTGTTGGCAAGTGATGCAACAAATTTCTTCAGATGTTTAATGAAATCTGGATATAGCTCAAGGTCGCAGTGTCCACCTCCACTTATCCACAAAGGTTCATACTTCTCTTTGCTCAGTTCCCAGAGCCGCTTTCCATGAGAATAATCAACCACTTCATCCGCAGTTCCCTGAAAGACCAACAAAAATACTAAGCTTTCAAGATAAATTCATAAGAACCATCCTTGTGAAAGAAGCTGATGTTGTCACTTACATGGATTACTAATACAGGACATGCTACTAATCCGATCTTGTCAATATTCTGTAAAAAACATGGAAAATGTAAACACCTATAAAATAACCAGAAACAACACTAAAAATTTAACATTCCACTAAAATCACCTTGTAAATGTCAAACCAGTAAGTACATTTAACAGGATACAAAACCCTCATCCCAGAGAGAATAGGACACTGTAAAACCACCCCTCTCAAGTTAGGTTTCCGCGAAGCTAGATCACACGTAGGTCCACTACCAACAGATTGACCATATAATATAAGTTGATCATCTCTCACGCCGTAATTTTCCTTAAGACATTTATAAGTCGCTTCTATATCAGCATATGTGTTAGCCTCGCTTGCCTGATCCAACCACCAAAAACATAATACATCAAAATAACCAAAAAAAACAAATCCATAAAGTCCCCGCCTTTAATTATAACAGATTAGTAGTAATACCTGTCCCGTAGACTGACCATAACCAGAATAATCATACCTGATGCAAAAAAAAAAAAAAAAACAATAGACTTCTCAGACAAGACAACAATGGTAATGAATCAAACACAGAAAAGAGACTCCAGATAGTTCAAGATTACATCTTTCTTGTTAAAAACTCAAACTTTGCAATTTTTTCTTGTTAAAAACTCAAACTTTTTTTTTTGGTAAAACCTACTCAAACTTTGCAAACTTTTCTGGTTAAAAGACTCAAACTTTTTCTCTTTTTTTTGGGTAAAATTAAAGACTCAAACTTTGCAAATTTTTCTGGTTAAAGACTCAAACTTTTTCTTTCTTTTTTTCTAAAATTAAAGACTCAAACTTTGCAAATTTTTCTTGTTAAAGACTCAAACTTTTTTTTTTGGGTAAAATTAAAGACTCAAACTTTGGAAGAAAGATGTAATCTTTAAAGAAGCTTCAAAAGAGAGATAATTTTGTACCCCATGAGATTAACGCGAAGGCGATTACTAAGCTCAACGAAAAGCTCAAACATTTGACCCACATCTGCGGCGTTACCATGAGAATAAAGAATCGTGCCATTAGCTTTGGAGTGTTTGACATAAACAGCCACGATCTCGTTTCCCAAGCGTGTGCGGAGCTTGAGGATGTCCACGTCATCGCGCCGCGGGATTTCGGGGATGTACAGACGCCCGCCGCAGCTTTCGTCGGGTAATACGTCGTAGGACGGTGGTGTTGGTGGGAAGAAGGCGAATTTCGCGGCGATTGATGACGTCACGCCTCCCATGTAAATAATTTTTAACCTTTCTTTAAAGATCTTATGGAGAGAAAAAAATGATTAAGACAGGAAATTGAAACAACAAAGATGAAGTTTGATAAAGATTCGAATCGTGCCACGGCGCGTGAGATATCTAAGGCGGCGCGTGTGGAACGATGGCTGAGAGGGAAGAACGGTTGAGAAATATTGAGAATAATATCTCTTTTTTTGTCAAAGATCAAAGAAAGTCAAACTCATCAAATAATGTAAGGTGGATGAAGGTTGGCCATACAGCTAACTTTTCTTATTTAGTTTTTATAAGAGAAAAAAAGGAAGGGAAAAAAAAACATGGGATTTTCAGATTTTTTATTAATTAAAAAATTAAATTGGTGATTTATTTCTTCACAAAGATGGGGTATTACACCAAAGGATCACAACCTTAAAGGGAACAGATTTTAATCCCAAATTGCAACCAGGAACATAAACAAGGTAAACGACTTTAAAGCATCATGATTTTAAATGATAATTTTAGTTACATTAAGAGAAAAAAAATTTACGTAATCTTAAGACATCGAAAAAAAAAAAATGTTGGACTAGCACTGGATGTGATCCTGTCCCGGTGAATATAAGTACTGCTTACATATAAACGAGGTGAACACTGGATTATAAGTTCTCTTGTGTTCTTTGTTCATGGTTCTTTATCATCTATGATTAGAGTCAAGTTCGATTCCAGAGAATCTAGGCTTAGATTCATACAATGTTATATTTACCTCTGTATGAAGATGTTGCATTCTCCTTGAATCTCAGTATAAGGCTCATCTCCAATTGATGATGTTACCAAGCTTTCTGAGTTTTCTATAAAATTTCCTTTGCTTTGGTATGAGGATGTTGCACTCTCTATGAATCCTTGTTACTTATATATGTACGAGGTTGGCATTCGAGTTTGATTTATCTGCCTCGGTGCAACGACTTGCTGCTGTATGTAGGACCAATAGTCCAATACCCCATGTCTTCTCGTTTTTACTATGGATTCTGATGTGGTATGTTTTGATTTTGTCTTTGGTGGCGGTTTGAAGGGTACCGCTTGCTACATCATTTTCTTTAGTGATTCAGGTTCGTATTGACATGTATTTTCATGTTGTCACCTTCATGAGCTTGCATTCACATTTTCTAATGTTTCAATTTTGTGTAGGGACATTATAATATTGTCATTTTGAGTAATACGTAAAGATCATTTGATTACAGAGCCCCAAAAAACAGAGGAAAAGAAAAAACTTACAGTATTTATACATCACCTATGAACGACCCTAACTAATACGCCTCTCAAAACGAACTCGCGGCCATATCCGAACTACTCCTCCACTTATCAGTCTCCGGCGAGATTGACGGCGGAACACTATGCCTCAGCAACCCAACGTCATCTCCCCCCCCCTCCCCTTAATATCCACCACATCAGGCGACGCCTCCCGCGGATTCTCCCCCTTGATCCCTTTCAAAATCTCCACAATCTCATCCATCGACGGCCTCACTTTCCTCTCCAGTTGCAAACACCTGAACGCAAGCTCAGCCACCGCCATCATCTTCCTCTTCACTTCGGGATCCTTCGTAAACCCCAAACTCGGATCAACGAGCTCGTGCAACGCATTGTTCTGGATCTTGGAGACTGCCATGTTCGCCAAGTTGATATCAAGGTGATGCCTATTGATATCAACCGCCTCTTTGGATGAGATGAGTTCCATGAGGACGACACCGAAGCTGTAAACGTCGCTCTTCTCATTTAGACGGTAGCATTGGTAATACTCCGGGTCTACGTACCCCGGAGTGCCCTGCGGGGCCGTGGAGATGTGAGTTTTGTCCATCGGAAACAACCGCGAGAGGCCGAAATCGGCTACCTTGACCGTGTAGTCCTCGTCTAGTAGAATGTTTGCTGTCTTGATGTCTCTGTGTATGATCCCTGAATTGTGGAGGAAGGATAAAGCGCTCGCGGTTTCGATGGCGATGTTTAGACGAACGAGCCAGCAAAGAGGACGAGGCTCGGCGCGATCTCTTTGGAGATGATCAAGGAGATCTCCGTGGAGATGATCAAGGAGATCTCCGTGGAGATGATCAGCGAGAGTTCCGTTTGAGATGTATTCGTAGACGAGGAGAAGCTCTCTGCTGTGTCTGGACGTGCATCCGTAGAGTATCACGAGATTTGGGTGCTTCAGCGACTTCAAGATTTCGATCTCGTTTTTGAACTGTTCGACGCGTTTTAGTGATCTTTGGTATAGTCGTTTAACTGCTACCTCTCGTCCATCTTTCAACATGCCTTTCAGAAAATAGACAAAGATGTTATGGGAAGTTTTCGTAAGTGAGATTTGAAGAGTCAGTGGTTATTACCGTAGTAGACTGTGCCGAACCCGCTGCCAAGCTCTCTAGAGAAATTATCGGTGGCTTCCTCGAGTTCTTCGTAGCTGAAGACTTGAACACCGAAGTAGGTGCTTCCGTTTTGGAGGTTAGAGAGTGAGGGGAGGAGAGAGTGGTTGCTATTGCTAGAGATTGTTGTGGAAGTCGGATAGCTTGATGTTACTCTGCTTGAATAAAACGTTACTGGCAAGTCTTTACTTGTGTATTGATTTGTCTGTGTCTTCCTTCTCCGTCTGAGTAGACAGAACAGACCTATGGCTATAAGAATGACCCCCACCAACCCCACTCCAGATCCGATTTCTAGAGACCAAAAACCAAAACAATTTTCATAGTAAGTCTCTATGATGTTTGTCTACAGCTTAATCAAAATAGAACAAGAAAAGGGTAAGCACCTGCTTTTGCGGCACTAGAGAGGCCTGCATCAATATGATGACACAATGAAAACTTTATATCTTACTAGAAAGGGTACTAAAAACTTGAAATCCAATGGAGTTTTTGTAAATTAATCTAAAAATGTGAGGAAGATATGGATATTTGTGCAAAAGAAACCTTACCTTTGTCTCCGCAGGTACGTCTATGCGGCTTATCATCACAATAGCAGACGAAAGTACTTAAGGTTTGGTTATATCCACATGAACCTCCAGATTTAATGCACTGTGAACAATCATGACTAACTCCAAGCTCGAAACCCTGACCAAGAACCTTCTCTAAATTATCCGCACTTGGACTCTCCTCCATTACCTTCAACGCTTGTATAGAGACAGGAATACTGATGTTTCTTCTGCAAATTGCCTTGTTTATAAGGTCACTGAACTCGTTACGTAGAGGAGAGCGCAACTTTCTCGTCACATAGTAACTTTTTCTACCACCTATATCATCCCTACAACCAAGCTCTCCAAAGAAATTACTGCCAGTAGTAGCAGGTAGTGAAAAGCTGTTGCAGTTGTAATATAATGTTAGTAGATCGTTATCTCGTGTGAGCTGAAGAACACTTTGGTTGAATGGTGCATCTCGTGTAGTGTCTGGGGGACAAAGATTGTTGATATAATCCGATCTGGCAATTTTTATGATAGGAGATTCATAGCTCATACTTAAGATTCTGTAGTTTACAGAGGACATGTTCAGCTCTGCGAATCCTCTGCTACAGTTGAGTTTGAAGTCGGGGTGGCCACAGTCTTCTCTGCCAGGTATCCAGAAAGGGTAAAAGAGACCGCTCTGATCGCCGCAGCTAAAAGGGACACAGAGTCGGTGAAGTTTATCTTCTGAGAAAACACATGATGGGATCACAA